TTGTTGTTGTTGTTTTCATGAATGAGTAGAGAATCACCTTCCCCCTGTTTCCTGCCTTAATAAAGTCCAGTTCCTTATTAGGAAAATATAATTTCCAAAGTATAAAAGAAATAACACTTAGTACTTTGTAAAAACACACATTGAGATCAAGAAGAGAAACTGAATACTCCCCTTGGGAGGCTCTTAGTGTTGTAAGCATCAGCAGCATTTTCCCAGTGTCTGGCTAGTGCAGCTCTCTTAGCCCCACTGTGTCTGGAAGTTGGTGAACATGCATACCATCTCTCCACACTGGCCAGAGCTGTCACTCTGGTACTATGTCTGCCTCTCCAGGGCCTGCCCTGGTGGAGTCAGCATCCTTCTGTATGGAGCCCTCAGTGAAGGTACTGGCAGCCTTGCTTCCACTTCTGGGTGCACTAGTTCCATTACCTAGGGAGCTGAACACCAGACACAGAATCCCTTCCATTAGTAGGTAGGTAACAAAGGACATAGACTGCTGTAGAATATCAGAAAGAAGAGGCTTTTGCATGACTTTGACCTCACATGCATTGAGAATGTTATGACTTCAGCCTGAGTCAGCACCCTCCCAGCCTTGGTCCCAGATAGGGGCAAAATCATGGGGAATGCACACCCTGTTCCACACTGCAATCTCGTTAGACTCCCCAGATCCTTGGTGATGGTCATTGCACAGCCTGAGTTTTTCCCAACATCTTGTATCTTCCACCAAACCACAGATCAATCCCAGCATTCATAGAAACAAGTCCTCCAAGCCCTAGCACTATGTCTTTTCTCTGGCTTTCCTGACTTGGTGCCGTAGGTATCTCTCACAGGGTGCTGCTTGGCAATGTAGAAAAGATTTCTAAAGAGTGGTGCAGTCTTGTGTCCTGTGTCTGGGGTGAGGGCAGGCCAGTGAGCAGTTTTTGCTGGGTAGGGCAGGTGCTGTTTTCTACCAGGCCCTGTGCAGATAGTCCTTCTATGTTTCAGTGTCCATCCACCCCAGAAATGGATGCCTATGGCCAACCCTATCTCCATCTATTCCAAATCTTGAGTGACCTAACCTACTTAAATTCAAGTAGTTGGCTTGTGTGGAGGGTGTTTGTTTGTTTGTTTGTTTTTCAACATCTGTGGTTGATCAGAGTCACTGCCCTACTTGCCTCTTTTACTGATCCATCCACCCCCTCCTCTCCAGAGACAGTAGAAGAGCTTGGTGGTTTGTATTTTAATTTCAAAGTTAAAACAGTGACCAGAGACCCAGGAAGCTTTCAAGAGTGATGACATATCAGTAAGAGGCAGTCAAAATCAAGACTTTGTCTTTGAACTTATCTTTCAGTAAATTTAAATACTAAAATAATCCAGGATAACTCTTTGTGTTCATTAATGACCATAAGAAGCCACCTATAAGTAATTGGCCGGCTAAAACATTTTAACACCATAAGGGTACTGTTTGTTTATGTTCTGCTTCATAAATGAGGATATGATTTTTTTCTTACCCCAATTGTCAGCCTCTTGCATGCTTTGTCAACCTCTTGAATTGCTGGCCAGGTCCAGCTTGTCATGAGGTGAACTTGAGTAGTATACAAGTCTTCCTGGGTCTAGATGTCTCATGGCTCAGGATTGCCAGAGTAAGAAAATACAATATATAGAATGTTGTTACACTTAAATTTCTAATATAGAGTGTGTGTGTGTGTGTGTGTGTGTGTGTGTGTGTGTGTGTGTGTGTGTATGTGTTTAGTAAAAGTTTGGCTTATCTACCATTTGGACATCTTTTGCCAACAGTGGGGATGTTGTGAAGAGAGAAATGAGACTTTGTCTGAGTTCAGTTTTTTGTAAATAAGTGTGTATACACTGCCTCTATTAAGTAGTATGTACTAAAACATGCCAAGTCACTTTTGATGAAGTTTTGTTCTCCTGTGCTTCTCAAACAAGGAATTTTAGAAACAAGCCCAAACTTGTGTTTTGGTGAGTTATTTTATTACAGTAAACAGCTGGCTGACTTTTAGTTCTATGACATTTGCACACCATTTGTAATCAGTATGACAGGCAACAGGAAGACCCTCATTGTGGCACTCAGCTGGGTCACTCTTACTGGTTCTGCTTGTACTCTGACCTAGATGATGCCAGAGGAAGGCACCAGAAAAGGATCCGGAGTAAAACACAGAATTACCTCAACCTTTATGCAGTGGAAGGCCTGCGAACTCTGTGCATTGCTAAGAGGGTGAGGGAGGGGCCCTTCAGGAGGGTGAGGGAGGGATCCCTTCAGGAGGGTGAGTGAGGGGCCCCTTCAGGAGGGTGAGGGAGGGGCCCTTCAGGAGGGTGAGTAAGGGATCCCTTCAGGAGGGTGAGTGAGGGGCCCTTCAGGAGGGTGAGCAAGGGATCCCTTCATGAGGGTGAGTGAGGGGCCCCTTCAGGAGGGTGAGTGAGGGGCCCTTCAGGAGGGTGAGCAAGGGATCCCTTCAGGAGGGTGAGTGAGATGCATGTTCAGGAGGGTGAGGGAGGGGCCCTTCAGGAGGGTGAGGGAGGGGCATCTTCATGAGGGCACACATTGGCAACTGCCCCCCCCCCATGCACAGCACCCAGTGCAGCACTCAACAATGTGTGTTTCCATAGGTTCTGAGCAAGGAAGAGTATGCTTGCTGGTTGCAGAGCCACATAGAAGCAGAGGCATCTGTGGAAGGCCGTGAAGAGCTCCTCTTTCAGTCTGCGGTTCGCCTGGAGACGAACTTGCACCTGCTGGGTAATTAGCTTTCCAGATGCCTGTGGTACAGAGCAGTGCTGTTTGCAGGGGTCCTGGGGTGACTAGTGACATGGCTGCTTCTCTTGCTCTCGCCTGTGTTGAGCTTGTCTGGGGAACCACCTGGCTTTTAGCTAGCTTGTTCCCAGGTCGGGAGGAACATTTTCTGCAGGCTCTGTCCATGGGGCTCATATATGCCATGCACTCCAGGTTCGCTGTCTTCATGTCTCCTTTAAACCTCACTTTCCAACAAAAATGGCTATAAGGAGCAAGCCTTTTGACAATAGACAGTTGGAAAAATTTCAAGCCCCTGGCAATCTACATGAACATGCATGGAAATGCTGAGTTTTGCATCTTATAAATTATTTCAGATTCATTTGGGATGAAAAGAAAATGGCTCATATTTCCTTCTTCATCCCTATTTACATCTAATAAAATCTAATTAGTTATTAGGAAGACATTAAGGTACTTATTACTTGGGTACCTATTTTAATATTTAATTTTTCAATATTTTAAGATTTTATATTAAACTAGTGAATACATTCAGCTGAGTATCCCATGGCTGTGTATGTGATGTGTGTGCTTACTGGGAAACTAGCTGTGTAAGGTACGTACACCTCATTTTGTGAAATGTTGGTCAGAATCTGCTGGGATTGCATAAAGCTCCAGAGTTCATCTTTTCTTATTTAACCAAGGATGCATTCTCTTGTCTTCATTTTCTGGACAGAGGGATTAGGAAATCTATATTCCTATTTATACATATCTCTTATAATAGTTACTGTTAATATTTAATAGCATAATGTGCTCTAGACAGAATACCACTACATACTTTGTCCAGTGTCTAATACCCTACTCAGAAAGCCATAGGATTGGAACCCAGAGACTTAGTGGATGCTATCTCTAATAAATTAAATGAAGCCCCTCAAACAGTTTCTGCCTATTTCAAGCCACTGATTTAATTACTGAATTGGAACTGCTCTCATAAGGATACCCCTGTCTTCAGAAAGCCAACAACAGCCAGACAAGATGGTACACGCCTGTAATTCCAGGATGGAGGAGGTACAGGCAGTAGGATATGAGTTTGAGACCATCCTGTGCTATACAGGGTTCTGGGGGGGGGGGGGGGGGGGTGGACACAGCCTCAAAAAAAGGAAAAACAATAAAACAACATAAAAACCCAGAAAGGGCTTCTCTGGAATGTTCTTTATTGATGGCTAGAGTGGTAAGAGAGAGGGTGCTGAGCTTATTCTTCTGGACCACCTGTCCATCTTCTTTGTTCCCAGGCACTCCCCCTTCATGGTTGATATTTCTCCTGGACAGTGCTAACTTCTCAGTGGAGTGAAGTTTGCTGCCTGGTCCACCCTTGTGGTAGGGGCTGGACCCACTCTAAAGCACTGCAGATGGTATCTCTTCCCTTTCCGAGTCATGAAAGCACAGCTGTGAGCAGCGTCACTGCCCCTCCCCTCCATCCTCCTCAGTGCCGAGTCATGGCTTGGTTATCAAGTCCAGGCTTTGCCGCTTACTAGCCATGGAAGCTTGGACACATTACTCAGTCTTTGCCTCCAAGGGTTCTTATCTGCTCTGTGGGGAAGGTGGCTGTAAGGGTGAGGAGGAGGAAACGGCAGGATGCGGGGAGTGTGGTTTGGCTGTGGGCTCTTGCACTCAGCCACTGGCATCTTGATCAATCTCATGTGGTAGCATCCACACCTGAGATGGCCCGACTGGCCCTTTTTCTACAAATTGTCTCTAGAACAGGGGCCTCTGCCACTTCCCAGTCTTTGTGCCATGTCTCTGTTAACATACCTCAAGTCAGAACAGCCCTTGTAGACCTTAGTCACACTCAAAGTGAGATAACTCGCCTTTTGATCTTTTGTGGGAACATATGGCAATAGGCAAAATCCAACAGTCGTTATCCACTTCCCACCTTCGAGCACCTAGAAAATTGATGGTTTAAGTGATGGAGCCTAAGCTTGAAAAAGAGCCACCTAGCACAGCTTCACCAAGGGGCAAGGAGTTCAGGAAGTTTCCAGAGACCTCACTGAGCAGTTTGTATCTTTAATATTCGAAGCCAAATTCCTCCTTCTAAATCTTTTTATTTAGGTGGTTATGTTAAACAACCTAAGAGAACCACAAATAATATTTTAGCAGGAAGAGTCACCTTCATACTGCGTTCTTAAACTGCTTTTTCTGGGCAAGAAACAAAATTCAGCTGTATCATTCTGCTCATTTTTTACCCCAGAATTCTTGCTGGTTCCTCTAAATGTCATCTGAAACCACTCATTTCTTTCCCCTTAAAACCACCTGACAGGTGGTTGTGGTTATTGTAACATGGGTACATGGTAGAGTTCAGAACTGAACTGGCATTTCCATGCGTCATGGTCCTCAGGGACCCTCCTCCTGTCCCTTCATGGCCTCATCTAAACATAATCACCTCACAAAGACCCCACCTCCTAACACTGTCACACTGGGAGTTAGGCCTTCCATCTGTTAATCTGAAAGCATTGGTGGCAGCTGGGAACACAGACCTGCAGTCCATTAGCAGTGCCCCAGCACCAGGAGCTTGAAGTAGGAATGGCAAGGAGCCTCGGCCAGGGCTGGAGCCCAGGAAGTCATGGGATACGGCTCACTTTTAGAGATGGGAAAGCAGAAAGCATCTCACCAGAGTGTCCTCAGATGAGAAATGAAGGCAGACTTGGGCACATTTTAGCATTGAATACAGGTTGATTATTCTTCATCCAAAATTCTTAGGATAGGAAGTGTTTGGGTTTTGAGAGTTTGTGCTTTCTTGTACATGCACAATGATAAATCTGGGGACTATGACCTTGCATTTTGTATACTTCCCACCTTATGCATAGCCTGAAGGCAACGGCAGACCCTTCAGACCCTTGTGTTTTGACTGTTATCTATCACATGAGATCGTGTTAGATCTAAAAGTTTTCTGGAGCGTTTCAGATTTCATCATTTTGTGGTTAGAGATGTTCAGCCTGTTGTATGTTTTCTATGAAGTCAGTAAGAGGAATTTGCCTCTTAAATTCTTTATGTTTGTGGATAAGGCATTCGTGATGATGTTGCTTAGTAAATGAATGATTCTTTCTCTCCACCGTTGGTTTGGATAACAAATGGTTGACGTGGTTAAGCTCAAACATTGAATTTCATGCGTGGAAACTTTCTGGAGGATAGGAGATAGGTAACTACTAAGACTTTTCTTTTAATCCCTTGGGCATATGATGATTTCCTCCCTCCATAGTCTCTGTTTTTAGAGTATATGAAAAGTTAGCTACTTGTTAGTCAGAAAGATTTCAAGGTACGCTTTGGTGAGTGTACATAACAGTGTTTGGTGACTCGCACTTGTTCCTCCTACTTATTCTTGACTGAGTCATGGCAACAGCTATGGTAAGCATCCAGCACAGTCCTGGAATGATGGATCATTTTAGCTTGCTTCCAGAGGGACTTTTTGCCACTTAGTGTCATCTGGCAAGTGAGCCCCAAGAAAGTCTTAGGTACTTGGTAGTGCCACATCTATCTTTGGTATATTTGGTACATGGCATTTGTATCCCATCAGGAATTGTGAAGAGGGACTCACTGGAACTGTCATACATTTAACCAGGTGCCACTGGAATAGAAGACCGCCTTCAGGATGGAGTTCCTGAAACCATCGCTAAATTACGACAAGCCGGCCTGCAGATTTGGGTCCTCACAGGTGACAAACAAGAAACAGCCATTAACATTGCATATGCCTGCAAACTGCTGGACCATGAAGAGCATGTCATCACACTGAATGCTGAGTCTCAGGTATGTAGATTCCAGAGAGACTGCCCTGTTCAAGGATGGCCTCATATCCTGTAGGCTCCCATGATAGAACTCTGTTGGAAGGCCACTGAGGCTTCCACCTCTTGCAGCCACAGTGAGGAGCATGTTTACCCACTGCATTCCCTCTTAGCAAGTGCACTATTTCTGAGACTTGGGACATTCTTATCATCGTCTTGTGAGATGTAGACTTTTCTAGGATTTCTTTTTTTTAATATTTTATATTTTGAGATTGTAATGCAATTACATCTTTTCTTTCTTCCTTTTGCTCCCTCCAAACTCTCCCCTTTATCCCCCTCCTTGCCCTCTTTCAAATTCATGGCCTCTTTTTCCATTAATTGTTGTCACATACACATTTCTCCTGCTCTCAGCATTCCTTAGTTGTCTGTAGTTAATTTTGTAGGATGAGGTCTTCTGGGCTTTCTCCAATCTGTGTTAACTTGTCTTTTGTTGTCCTTTTGAGCTCATGTTTAGGCAGTCCTGTTGATAAAACTTCATGGATGTAGCTCCTGATGTTTCCAGGAGAAACAATCTCAAAGCAAACTCCCTGTTCCTCCTGTTCTTATGATTGGTTTGCCCCCTTTTCCCATGCTCCTCAAACCTTCTGTCCTAGAGTTGTATTATAAATGTATCCATTGATTGTCCATGGTTTTCTGTAATGGTCTCTGGCTGTTGCAAAGAGAAGTTTCCTCTATGAAGGATGAGGACTACACTTATCAGGCTAGACCCTAGAAAAGGATGTCTTTTGGGTGGAGAGGTTGGATCTGGGATTTCTTAATACCAAAGGAATGTACATCTGGGTTTTATTAGTACAAAGTTCAACTTCTATTTTCATATCACTGGATTTTTTTTTCATGAGGTCTTATGTGTCTAGGATGTGGAGCCAAGGCAGTGATCTATTTAGCATGAACTCCTCTGGTTTCATCAACTGCCTCTGGGCACTTCTTTTGTTCACTCACACTTGTTTGGTTAAATCCACAAGTATGCAAAGGGTGTCTACTCCCAGCACCTCCCTGATCTAGGATCTGGTTCCTCCCATGAGCTCCACTTGAAATCTCTTCAGGTTACCCACAATCTTCTTGGTGAAGCCCAAGACTCCTTCTGTGTATATCCCCTCCTCAGGCTTCTTTAGGAGCTAAAGGCCATGATAACTTCTATGGGTTGCTGTGGGATTCACTGTCCAGGGAGCAGCATGTAATGGCACACAGGTAAAGCCATGGAAAATGTGGCAATGTATAGATTAACAGAAATGGGCTGTGTTTAAGTGCAAGAGCTAGTCAGTAGTAAGCCTGAGCTAATGGCCAAGCAGTTTTAATTAATAAAAAGCCTCTGTGTGTTTACTTGGGTGTGAGTGGCTGGGACCTGGTGGGTCACAGGAAAACTAAGATTTTCTGTGTCCCATCTGGTCTCTGTGTCCCACTCTGTGCCATTACATGCTGCTCCGTGGATGGAGGGCTGGTGCCTCCTGACTCAGCCTTCCTCTTCCCAGAATTCTCCTTGTCTGCTTATCCCACCTATACTTCCTGCCTGACTAGTGGCCAATCAGTGTTTTATTACACCAGCGTACAAAAGCATTATCCCAGAGCAATGGGTAATCATGGATTCCTTCTAAGTCCCACACCCAGATCATCAGCTGTCCAGACCTCAGGACCCTGTCCCTGAAAGCCACATGTTCTCCTTGCTGTCTTGATGTTTGTGGAATTTCAGTGACACTTCCTCTCTTATTTATGACATTGGTGTTTTGTGTCTGTTCTTTGATTGTTTTTGATGCCAGCCTATCAGTTACACCGACTCTTCAAGAACAAGGTTTGGGCTGCTTCGATTTCTTTTCTCTGTTGGTTTATTTTCAATTTTATTGATGATGATCTTGGTTGCCTTCTTCCTCCTCTTTGTCTTCATCTTACTTTTATTTCCCTGTTCCCAAGCATTTTTTCTTTTCTAATATAAGCAAAACATCTGTACCTCACAATTTTGAAATGTGTTTTCAGCTATATACAGCTCAAGATATTTTTATAAATATTTCTTATGTTCACTTTCGAGTCTGTGGATTATTTCAAAGTGCTTTGTTTCATTTCCAAATACTTGGAGGTTGTCTTATCACCTTTCTGTTACTGATTCCTAGTTTGATTCCATTTTGGTTAAATAATATTTCTGGTTAAATAATATTTCAATTCATCAAACTTTGTTAGCTTTTCAGTAACCAAAGGAATGGTTTATATTGAGACTGCACTGTGTCGGGGCAGCTGCTCTCTTCTCCAAAGTCAATGCCCTTCGGTTGATAAATGGGATGCTTCAGTTTTTGTGTCTTAAGGGTCAGGAGACAGGACTTCCTCCTCAGTCTCCTTGGCTCACCTCTTCCCTTGTGTCTGAAGCCATTGCTGTAGGGCAGGTCCACTGACAACAAACACTGTCTCTTTACTCAGGAAATGGCTTAACTGCATTTCCTTCTGGACCCATATCTTCACTGAATATGGAAGACTGAAATGGCAATTATTTCCTTCCAGTACTCTAAGCGTATTCCACTTCCTTCCACATACATGGTTTCTCATGAAATCGGTGCTGCCCTTGAACCCCTGCTGCCTAATAACCAATGACTGTTTTTGTGTGGCTGCTCCGGGGATTTTTTTCTTTGTCTTAAGCAGTTTGATCACAATGTGTTTGTGTTTGTTTCAAGCTGACTGACTTCTATCTGTTATTGTCTCTTTACTCCTAAGTCTGTATAGTGATGATTTTAGAAAATAAACTCCATATATAGAATGGTTTTATATTTACAAAAATGTTTGGAAAAGTCATTGGAGCATTCCCATATCATACCCAATTTCTCCCGATTAGCATCTTATAGGAGCATAGAGCATTTGTTATACCCACAAACTAACGTTAACACATGATCTAACAAAAGCTCTTGCTATATAGATTGTCTTACCTGGCACCTGCCATCCTGTTTCAGGATTTCATGTTACATCTGTTTGTCAAAGCTCTCTTGAATGTCCCTGACTGTGACAGTTTCGCAGACTATCTTTGTCTTTTGCGTCCTTGGAATTTTGAAGAGAACTGATAAAATTGTTTATAGACTGGTTTGATCTTTAGGTTCTCCTGATATTGCTATTATGAGAATGAAGCTATGAATGTTGTGTGGAAGGCATGAGGTATCATTATTTCATTACATTGTATAATCATACCATCATGTTGTTGATGACCTGGTATTTGCCACTTGTATTCATTTTACAAGGACTACAGCTCCTCCCCACCCCCTTTTCTTTATTGAACTCTTTGGAGATAAGTCCCTGTGAGCTCACACAGTTCATATTGGAAGTCAGTGTAGAGCAGGGGTGGTGGCTGTGCCAGAGTGCCATTCTCAGTGTTGCTGTCCCCTCAGGATTATGCCCATGTGCTCACATCATATAGTGAACCCCTAAATTCATAAATAGTATTTTAGAGCCAGCTGAGGGATCTTTCTTTTACCATCTTTCTAGTACTTTCTAGTTTCTCAAGACCCCCCTTTTCTCCTCTGGTGAGAAGGCCAAGGTTCAGGTTACTCCTTTCTACTTCCCGTTTTCCTCCTCCTCCACTTGCATGTGAAGCCCAGGAATGGTAGGGCAGAGAAGAAAGGCAGTCATTATACTGCCATCTCGACACCGCAGTGCCTGAGACAAGAGGTGGGTTCCACTCCTTCTGAATCTTCATCCCTAGATGGTCCTGTTTGCTGCCAGCATAGCAGAACCCATGTGATGGAGACTAGAAGACAGGAAAATAAAACAAACAAACCAACAACAACAACAAAAACCAGAGGTTCCCTGTGTCAATCTGAGCATTGAGAATGCCCTTCCTCCCTCCTGCAGCCAGAGCCCAGGGTTTCTTCCAGAGCTGCTGGTCTCTGGCATCCACTTTCAAATCTTGGAGACCTTGGGCCATGCCAGAGGCTTCCGGGGTGAATGGAACATTTGTCACCCTTTGGGGTCCTTATGATAATTTCCTTTCCCTATCTGAATGCTAGTTTTCTTTCAGAGTTCACAAATAGCTGCTCTGTGCCCCTGACCAGATAAAATATCTGCATCAGGAGAGAGATTGGAGTGAGCCTGCTTCGTCTCACCAGGAACTACCTGTGTCAGTGTTTTGTAGTAGGACCAGGTACCTCATGGAGTTTCTCTATCCGTGTTCTTCTTAAGTCTTCCCCAGTTATCAGCATGTCCTCCTCCAGGAGAGGTTTCTATCTCCAGTCACAAGTCTGGATGTTCCCATCTGTCTGGCAGTGGTCATATCCAGGGACTTGCCTTGCCTTCCAGTCTTCCTAAGGGCAGTGGCAATCTCTTTTCAGATTTATTAGTTTTCTCAATGTGACAGACCAATAAGTATTGATTGGCCACAGCTGGTTGTCCACAGTATACAGCAAGGAACCAGGCACTAGTGGGTTGTCTGTGTGCAGGACAGGAGCCTTTCAAACTTCTCTATGTGTGTTTGTTCTTGGGAATGAGCTCCCTCTTTGGTCTCTGGTTCCTGCCCCCGAAGCCTGTTATTATCCAGGTTTTCCTTCTCTCTGGAACTCAGATCCAGTTTGGGAAGGGCATGGATTATGAAAAAACACAGTAATTGGACCTTTTTTTCTTTCCCAAGTGGAAATGGAGAATTTAGACAGAACACTGAAATTATATTTATTGACTGATCCATAAAAGGCTTTGAAAGAGATTTGTGCACCAGCATTGATGGAGCAGTATGAGGCAGGAAGGTTTAGGTAAAGGCCCCAGAGAACTGTAGAGACACACAGGATGAACCTTTAGCCTAACCGTGTAAGACAGAGCAGTAATGCACCCACATCCATGAAGGTGAACATGCTCCATATCAACTTCAGCACAGCTGCATGGGCAATAAAGTATAATCCAGTGGAAGCTGAGTTCTTTCTCTCCTATGCAGGAAGTCATCCTCTCCAGCTGAACTTCCTTTTCTGGAAGTCTAAAGAGCCATTCATAACAGCCACGTGCCCTAGAAGGACATTAGCTTGGGGCATTGAGGCAGATAACCAGGGTCAGTAACATTACTGAAATACGTTGCTTGTCAATTTCAGGAAGCATGTGCAGCCCTCCTGGACCAATGCCTCCAGTATGTGCAGTCCAGAATCTCCCAAAGCACCCCTGAGAATACTGAAAGCAATGTGAGCGTGGGGTTCTCTTTCAACCCAGCCTCCACATCCACTGGCTCCAGCCCCAGCCAAAGCCTTGTGATTGATGGGAGAAGTCTGGCCTATGCCCTTGACAAAAGCCTGGAGGACAAATTTCTCTTCCTTGCCAAGCAGTGTCGCTCTGTCCTCTGCTGCCGGTCAACCCCTTTGCAGAAGAGCATGGTGGTTAAGTTGGTCAGAAGCAAGCTCAAGGCCATGACCCTGGCCATAGGCAAGTATCTAGGCCAATACTACAGGGCCTGACCCTACAGCTGTCTTCTTCAACTTCTCCCTCTCTATGTGGCCTGAATTTCTGATCCTCTTCCATCTAACACTATGAAACAAGAGAAGCCTTATTCACCTGTTTCCACTTACAATATTCTACCCAGTGTGGTAAAGGGGAGCATTCCAGACATAAAACATACATCAAAGAGCCACAAGATAAGGTAGCAGACATAGGTACTATTACAAGATCAGCAACTGCTAATGTTAGAGGACAAGCTGGAATGTAGGCCAATGCTTGGGAGACAGGACATTAGATACCTACCTGTCCCACACAGTTCAGCCACAGTGATGGTCTTATGTTAGCACATGTTGACATAGCAGAGGCCTTTTTCAAGGGTTTAAGGGCTTTGAGTTGTCACATTCCTCTTGGGGTCAAGGTTGTATAATGTTCTAGGGACCCTGGCTGTACCAACCAGAAGACTCAGTGATTCTTCTCAGCTGAATTTGTTGATTGTTTTGAGACAAGCATCTCATTAAATAAATCCATTTCAAGACAGCACAACTTTGCATCATTTAAAGATAGTATCTAACCTTATTTTTCTTGCAGGCACCCTTGGCTGGGTGCCTTCTAGGTTCCCCTCCAATGACAGGGTGGTGGTCACTTAACACATTCTTAGGGAATCATCTCTACCTATGTCTGAATTGGCTATAGTTTCCAGCATCAGTTCAGCCACTTCCTGGTGAGGGCCAGGAAGGCAGTAACTCTCATAACACCAGTTATAAATGTAACCCACTCCTAGGAAGTAATTGGCTCAGTGATAAAGTATCTTCACCAATTAGTCAGTCACCTATAATGACAGTATCATTTGCAGAAAGTCTGGGGTATTACCCATTATCATCACAGGTACTTCATCTGCTAGGAGAAGTCAGCATTAAGTGTGAGACCTTGGTAACCAAAGTCTGCACACCCTAAGAGTTATGGAAATCCATAGTATCCACTAGGAGAATACACAGATGGACAAGGACACATGCTTAGGAGACATGATCAGAGTGTTCACCATGGCTCCCCTGGCCCAAGCTGAGGGAAGAAAGCATCCCCTTCAGGGAAGGAGAAGCTAATCTCCCCTAGAATGTCATGTCATTTCTTGGACCATATGTTTCAGTCTAAGGAACCCAGCAATTTAGACTTAGAGAGCCCAATTGCACATGATAATTCATTTTTGAATAGGGGCATTTTAGGACGCTAGAGAGATTCCCATTGTTTCACAAAACTTTAATTCAACAAATTGATCATCCATTGAGTTTAGCTCCATAAAGAACAATAAAATCACCTGGGGGCATACCTGGGAACCCAAGTACTGAGAAAGTTGAGACAAAAAGATTGCAAATTTAAGGTCAGCCTTAGGGATACAGAGTAAGTTCAAGGCCATCACAACAAACTCAGACCCTGTCTCAAAAAGTAAAAAGAGGGCTGGGGATATAGGTTAGTGGCAGGATATTTGTGTGGCGTTCAAAAACCCTAGGTTTGATTTCTAATACTGGGGGAGGGCAGAAATAAAAGGGACTACTTATAACCACATTTAACCACATATAACTCTGACTTTTGTATATCTACACCTGTTGTTTTTACAGCTTGGCATGTCTGCTATGTCTTGAGCTGTTCTAAGCCTAATTCCAAGAATGGCTACTATTGTCTCAAATTATAATGGCTGTGTCAGTGTTTTGACATCCCAAAGATGTCAAGGTCTCTGACTTTTTAACATTCACCAGTCAACAGCTTGATGGTACAATGGATGTTTTCTTTACTATGCCTCAGAGAGCCAAAAAGCACATATTGTTTAATTCACTGAGGTAATCAATGTGCACAAAATGCTGAGCAGAACTTAACCTGTTTGATTTTGTAAGAAAATTGGTAAGGTGACTGTGAGTTGGAGAGGTCCTGGTGTCCAGCTGGAGGGGTTGAATACCTGCAGTAGTGATGAGGAGGATGATATTATTGTGCTGTCACATTAAGGGCCTTTTCTAAGCATATCCCGATAGTATAGAACCCAGTGGATAAATAAGATGGTGGCTCAGTGCTGGGACAGCTTGATGTGACTGGCAGTTCCATGTTGTACTGTGCCTGATTCTGCTCTACGTGTCCCTGTGATTCTATGCATCTCAAAATCAATGATTCTTCCTGCCTGTGTTGTTTTCAGGTGATGGGGCCAATGATGTCAGCATGATCCAGGTGGCAGATGTAGGCGTGGGGATCTCAGGCCAGGAAGGCATGCAGGTAAAAGACCAATTGGGCTGTCCTGTAGGACCAAATGGCCCTCATTGGCCTCTTATTCCATGATAGCACAAGTTATCCCAGCCTGTCTCTGGACTTTAACGAAGCTGAAGGATTTGCCTTCAGTATGGGTCAGTGCTCACCTTCAGCTAAGCCAGTAGTAGAAGCTAAAGTGGAATGTCATTCTGTTAATGAAGCCATGTGCAATAAACGAATGAAGCCACGTGCAATAAATGTCTTTGCCTCTGTCAACACAAGTATATTTGGGGATACCCTCCCCTGGCCCATCTGGGAGGCATTTCTGTTTACTCTTACCCAACAGTAACTATACTCTGTAAAAGGTGCCTCGTGACACTGTTGGAACCTGAAATCACTCCGAAGATGGAATGTGGCCATCCTGACTCCCATGGAAGTTCCGTCTTTGCTTTGCATTTGTCTCTGTGTCAGCTCTGAATGTTCCAGAAATTGAAAACACTGGTTAATTTAAAATATGCTGCTTCTAGATATATAGTATTACAACTTCTAACACTTGAGCAAGTTTGAGTCACATTTTTTAAAACTTTGGTAAAGCTTTTAGGGGACAGTTTATTCAGTGAGTTTTTAAAATCATATTGCTAATCACCATTTATTCACTGGTTGGATCACTCATTCAATCAAAAACTATTCCTGGAACACTCACTATATGTTTGGCTGTGCAGAGAACATTCATTTTCTGGCTTGGTATTAAACTGCAGTCGGATAGTAGGGCCCCTACTGGAAGTACAGTACAGTTGCCCTTCAGTAACCAGGGAGAGTTGCTTCAACACCAACATCCATAGATGTGTAAGTCTCTCACATAAACTGGTATATTTGCATAAATCCTACACACACCCATCTATACACTTTATATAATCACTAGATGATTTCTTGTACCCAATGCAATGGAAACACTATGTAAATAGTAGTTGTGCTGTGTAGTTTGGAAAGAACAATTTGTATATTTTCAATATAGTTTTTACTGAATATTTGACATCCACGGTTGTTTGAGTCTGCAGATTCTATTCCCACAAATACAAAAGGTTGACTTATATGCCTAATGGAACATCCAGTTCTGAACCAAATGCGTTATATGCTTTTTGATTTTTCAGTCATTTATCCCATTATTCATTCTTTCAAAAATCAATGAGACTGCACTATTGCCTGGCACACACTTAGAAACAGACACCATTAGACATAGTCACTGTCCTCAGTGGAGTTAGCTTAGAAACTCACTCAAAGAGGACAGTCATTGAACAGGAGCGAAGGACACAGCTCAGGAGTGGGGTGCTTACCTGGTACACACAGTGTGATCTCAAGTGCTGAAAAACAGATTAGTAGGCCACAGTGTAGACTTTGGGGCTGTCTTTGGAAACACCTCCAAATGCTGAGAATTCCCGAGGAAGCTCACCTGGCTCTCCAGCCTTCTGCCTTTCCTACCCACCCCAAATCCAGTGCAGACACAGGGCCTGTCCCTACATAGAAATAGCCTAGGCCAACGCTTTCCGCTTCCCCAGCTGTCCTGTTAGAGACAGGGTGGTAGAAACTCTGTTCACTTTGTACCTGCCTCTGTCAGAGCTTGGCTCCAGGGACTGTTCCACAATATGGTAGACCAGAGGAGTCCACAGAAACTGAGTGTTTCAAAGCACAGAAGCTCTGTTGTTCCTTCTAGCTCCTGGCCTGAGGTGACTGTCAGACGGTGGCTGGGCTGGTGACCTCCTACCTATCCTGACGTACCTATAGGGACTCAGTCCAGATTTCTCACATCTGTGCTTTACAAGAAGAGATCAGAATAGCATCCTCTCGTTTACCAGAATAACACACAAGCAACAGGGTCATCAGAAGATGTCTGGCCATCTTGCATAATACATCCTCCATTACGTATAACTTGAAGTACATACAAAAATATTCAGACACATCCTACCTAGAACTTTGCTTGCTCAACACCACCTGCCTTATGGTCCCAGCTGTTTTCATCACTGCTCACATGACTCTAGTCACAAATCTTATGGATGGAGAATTGTGTACCTGCCTCAAGCCTAAGGAGCAGTTGTAGCAGCTGAGTCTCCCCCCAGGTGCTCACCATCAATGTCTGTAATACAAAAGGCAAAGGTTGTCATGTGGTGGTGGTGGCGTTAGTGGTACTGGTGCTGGTGCTTGGTGCACACCTTTAATCCCAGCACTTGTGAGCCAGAGGTAGGCAGATCTCTGTGAGTTTGAGGCCAGCCTGGACTACAGAGTGAGTTCCAGGAAAGGCGCAAAGCTACACAGAGAAACCCTGTCTAAAAAAAAAAAAAAAAAGGCAAAGGTTTCTCTGCATATGAGGTTGACAAGTACTGTCTAGTTAGCTTTTTCTTAAGGGAAATAGCAGAAATTGGCAATGCTGAAAAATCCCTAATGAATTTTTCCTTCCATTCATTCAACAAATGTTACTTGAGCTTCTCCATACGTGTGGTGTGGTGGGAGCATTGTGAAAAGACAGAGAGAGAAGTCATTTTCTCTTTTCTTCTTTTCCATTTCATGAGTGAGCCTGGATGAAGTAAGTCTGCAGGAAGCGAAGGGAAGGGCTGAGAGTGGGCCCGCACATAGCTACCATTTCTACCTGTCAGTTCAGCAGCTGAGAGGAGAATATCGGGGAATGAAGTGCACAAGTTGCCAGACATGTAGAGATTTTTTTCTTGTCATTCCTTAAAAACTGCAGTGTAACAGACTGTTTAACTTCCTGGGAGAGTAGTCCAAAACACAACTCCCAATCCGATAAACATTAGCGGGTCATCGTTAGCTCATCTTTGAGATCTGGGTACAGTATAGAAATAAGTACCACGGGGCCGTAGAAAGGTGAGGGAAATCCCATGCATCTCTAGGTTTTGAGGCTTGATAGGAAACAATATTAAAAGAGAAAAATTGAAGGCTTTTTAAAACTCATTAATCCTATATCTAGTGTTTGAGGCCTTAAACGGTTCTAGAAAGTGGCATCCCTGAGAACCAGTGCTTATTGAGTGGTTTTTCTTTTTAACTGAAGGAGTTAATAAGATGAAGTCACACTTAGCACTGTGTTTGAAGCTGGATTTTTTTTTTTCCTCCCATGTTTGTTTTGCCTTGCCTTTGTTCTTCTCTGCCAAGTGGTTGGGCATCAGCAGTGATGCGAATTACTTTCCTTTTCAAGGCTGTGATGGCAAGCGACTTCGCAGTGCCAAGATTCCGGTACCTGGAGAGGCTGTTGATCGTGCACGGACACTGGTGCTACTCCAGACTGGCCAACATGGTGCTGTATTTCTTCTACAAAAACACAGTAGGTATTTGGCACGGGTCTTTAGAATTTTTCAGTTAAAGGCTTACCATAACTGCTTTTGCACTGTATCAACTGCAGACTCACAGTCGAGAAAGAGGGACATAGAAGGCCTCTGTGACAACCCTACCCCATCCCCACCCCCCAAAGGCTTACAGTTTGTCAGACTGATGCCTGCATAAGGCCAGAAGACCACCAGGGTCTCCTGTCCACTTTTGGGTTTGTATGAATGTCTGTGATAGTATCCTGGTCTTGTGCCCTATAATATCTGAAAACTAACTCATGGGAAATGAAAACAGCTGCATCTTTAAGGACGGAAGGTCTTATAAACAGCAGGCAACACAAGAAAGTTCATGTATGGCTTTATAAGGTAGCATAATGACAAGGCCAGCAATTTGCAACAGATCCAATAGACAGTAAGTTGCTAAGACTGTGTCGCTATCTGACCTCTGATTCTGTTCTTTAGTTCTCAACCTACATCCTTGTGTTTCTTAGGAGTGTTCTTAAAGTGTTCCTTAGGACTAGGATGTCCACAGTGGGACACTGATTTCTCTGCTGTAGGCAAGGAAGGTTTAAAGCAGAAGTGTGTTCAGTGGCCTTGCAATCAGAAAAATCACTTGATCTTGCTATATAGTTCAGACACTGAATGTTGTCTATCAGAGACACACTCACACCAGCTCTTGTACAAATCCCCAAGTGAGGCCTTGAACCTGGTAAGAAAGGGCCTTTCACACTCTCCTAGGCTTAGGGCAGATACACACTCTTCTAGCTAGCTTAATTGGTAGCTCTGTTTAAGTGAAGATTCCTAGGCCAGATGCACTGTGAACATTTGTGTCTCTTCAGGGGTTTTGAATACAGGGCTGTTCCTGATCTCTCCCACATAGTCCTCATGTTTAATCTTAGTTCTTTCATGCTCCACAGGCCTGAGGAATGGCCCACAGGATCATCACAAAATTCTGACTCATTTGTAAGATTTCTAGACACTCTCCTGAGGGGCTGCTGGTTTCACCTCTGCCTCTGGCAGCTTGAGGCTGAGTGAACCAACAAGGAGACAAACTAAACTCTTGGGATAAATGACCTTCTAAGCTTGTCCCATAAATCTCACTGTCTAAATACCAGAACGCCAGGGTCAAGAAGATGTTGTGATCTACTGAAAAAGATTCAAATAAATTAAAAGTTTTTTTTAAATTCCATATGAAAACCTTCATGCTAAATCTAAGCTGAAGTCAGTACAGCTTTTTCTTGTGTTCTTAATGGTTCATTCTGGAGGCTGACACATACTTTCCCACTCCTAACCTCTCCCACCCACTCACTTGCCTCATTTCCAAAATGTCTTCTCACAAATGAATACAGATGCTTGCAACCAATCAGGAAATGGCTAATTGAGTAGATTTGGAAATCAATTCAGATTAAGCTCCACCTGGGACCACATCCAAAAACATTGTTCTGTTTCTGCCCTTGTGAGTTCTTTTCTCCTTTCTTTATACCCTAGTATTGACTTGCCAGAATGGCGAGGCCTCAGATACCCAGAACCTATAGGTTCCCACCTTCTCTCCCCAGGAGTGAATGGCCCCTTTGGAGTAGGTTAGACTGGAGTAAAGCCTCATTTCTTTCAGTCCTTAGTACTCAACTTAGAGTAGGGTTATGTTGTATTGATAACAACCCATCACAAGTTGAAATATCACAAATGAAAAATATGTTTAGTACATTTAGGTCAACTACTATCATAGCGTAGTTCACAGTACACTGGAGCATTGTTGCCTTGTGACCAGCTAACTGGGAGTTTCGGCTCAAAGCCACTGTCTAGCATTTCCTGAGAATAAAGCCCAGGAAACAATCCAAATCAAAATTCAAAGTTTTGCAGAAGGCATATTGCTTTCACACCATCATGATAAACTTGAAAAATCCTAAATTGAGGCATCATAAGTTGAGGACCATGTCTGTTTGACTTCTATGGGTTATAATTTTTTTTCATCCCCCAAAACAGAACTATGAATTAAGCTAGCTCAACCCTGTAATTCCCAGTTCAAGGCTATGAACCTGAGAAGGTGGTGAGAGTAACATACTCCAAGCTTTCTAACACTTTAGAGGTAAACAGAGGCTAACACGGCAGCCTGCCATGTTAATCCTGTCCTTGTCGGAGAGCACAGGAGGAGAAAGAAAGAGCTGCCTGCCTGGTTTTCCTCATGTAAGATGCAGGGCTTTGTTAAGAGCATTCATCCACGTGAGCAGTTCAAGGGTAATCACTCCCCACAGGAGAGAGTCATTAATTTTAAGAATAAATTGGCCTTTCCAATAAAGAGCAGAGAAGAACAGTTTCTATAGTAACAGAGGCTTGGGAAGAAAGCTCTTTGGTACTATGAGGGGGGCTCTCAATTATCTAAGGATTTTTCTTCCTGTTCTTTTGACTCCATTTGCTCTACTATGACTCAGAAGGCTGAGCCCACGATGGTGGGTGAGCAAGAGTGAGCTGTGGGAGGAAGGCAGGGGAGCAAATCAATGAAGTCTGTCAGGGGCTGGTGTGGAGGGGGACATCGCATATTAGGAAGCTTAAGTCATAGATGAAAGCAGTACTTGGGGGGATTTAGTCATAGCTTCCACCCACATGGACGAGCATTTTTTTCTGATCCTCAGAAGCCATTTCTAAGGCACGAAACCAAGGCTCAGAGAGGTAAAGTGAAGAGCCAGAGGCATAAAGCAACTCATTCAAGGGCCATGGAGAGCTCCGTGAACCCAGAGGCAGTCCTCACTGTGCCCAGTGGAACATTCCTCCACTTGACCACATCTGCTTTGGAGACTGGCCCCTGACACCTTAGGCCACGATCCATTCGTGTTGGATTTATTACTCCTACTCTGACCACTTTCGTATCTCACACCTTAGTTTTCTGTAAATGTAAGAGCAGCTTGAGCTTGAGTCTCAGAGGAAAGAAGGACATTAAACTAGGAAGAGTATGCCTCTGAGAATAGCCACAGGATTCCAGGGACCTCACGAATTCTTTAAAGGCATCGGGCCCTTTCATTCTCAACACCCTCCCTGGGCAGCTCTCACAGCGATGGCCGTGGCATAGACGGGGACACTGAAGCAGAGAGGTGATCTGGTCTCTGCCAAATGACACAGTGAGTGTGAAAACACTTTGTGTGCTAGTTCTGTATCACTCTAGTGAAATAACTGGAATAAGTAAGTTATAAGGGGAAAGTTTTTGTTTGGGGTTTTTGGTTTTGTTTTGTTTGTTTGTTTAGATCATGGCGTCAGATGTTTCAGCCCACAGACTTGCTTTCCGTTTCCTTTGGGTCTATGAGGAGGCAGCACACCATGATTGGAACAAAGCTGCTTACCCCATGGCTTACAGAAAGCCAGAGGGAATTGGGTTACCAATATTCTGTTTCAGGACATGCCCTTCCTGATGTAACTTCCTCTCACTAGACCCCACCTCTTTCAGCTTCCACTACCTCCAAAGAGCTCTCTCAGCTGTGAAACAAGCCTTAACTCAGGGGCCTCTGGGAGGCATTCAAGAGCTGAACCACAGTGTTTTATATCCGCTATCAGACTGCTGTATTTCCCATGTAAATGCGCTCCAGCCACTGAAACTCTCAGCAGCTGAAAGCGGAAAGCCATCTTGGCTAACTCCCACCACCCCCACTCCCCCACCCCCACCCCAGCAGGGGGTTGACGGTCTCTGTTTCTTACTTGCTTGCCTTTGCTCTTGTGCTCACGTGTGTCTTCGAAGCTCTTATGGAAAGTGTTGATGAGTTTCCACTGTTCCTTTCCAAAAATAAGGCAGAGATGGGAGGACCATAACAAGGTTAGCCTGGGCTACATAGTTAAGCCTTGTGCCCTCCCCCCACCCCCCAAAAACAGAGAGAGAAAGAAAGAAGATGGGGGGCGGGGCATGGGCTTACAGATGTATCCTAGGGTGGGTATTTGGGAAGACAGAAAAAGGGAAGGCCCCAGGGCAGGAGCCCAGGCCTTAAGATGTAAGCCATCCTGAGCCCCGCCTTGATCGTTTCACATTGACCATCTCCAACTCTTCTGGAACAAAATCTCATGCCTCCTTGGGATGCTCCTGGGAATTCCAAATTCCTACTACTGGTCTCTTGAGTACAGGGGACTGTGGTAGAAGAGGATTGTGAGCAGGCCAATGACAAGGCTAGAGGCTTTCGGGAGAAATCACTGCCTAGCTACTTAATTACAGAAAATCTCTGCGGGGATATTGAGTCCTTCAGATGAGTCTCTGCAGGGACAGCTAAAAAAATAACCTGTTCTTATGCCTCCTTTCTCTGTTGCAGATGTTTGTGGGCCTCTTGTTTTGGTTCCAGTTTTACTGTGGCTTTTCTGCATCTGCCATGATTGACCAGTGGTATCTGATTTTCTTTAATCTGCTCTTCTCATCGCTTCCCCAGCTCGTGACTGGGGTGCTGGATAAAGACATTCCAGCCGACATGCTGCTGAGAGAGCCCCAGCTTTACAAGAGTGGCCAGAACATGGAGGTAAGCACCCTGCTATCTCTGCCTCCATCTCTTGGCCTCCACCCCCTTGCAGAAAGTAAAATTCTCCCCAAATCCCTACTAGAAAATTGTCAAAATTGGAGAATGGATACTGTATGTTAGACTCTGTAATACATTGTGTTAGCTTTGCATTGCTGTAATAAAATACCCGAGACAATTAACTTGTAAGAGGAAAAGCTTTTTTGCACACATGGTTATGGCAGTTGCAGTCTAGGATTGGGCAATCCTGTTTGGGCTTCTGATAGGAGTGCCTGATTGTCATGGCAATGGTGAGAACCATATACTGGAGCAAACTGCTCATGTCCCAAACTGGGAAGCAAAGAGGAAGCAACCAGGACCTCACCATCACCTCAGAAGCACACCCCTATGACTTAGGGACCTCCTACTAAGCTCCACTTCCTAAAGGTTCTGTCACCTCTCTCAAGTACCACTCCTGGAACCAAGCTTCAATACACAAGCCTTTGGGGGGACAATGAACGCCTTTGCATTCATAAAGTATGTTGAATGAAAACCTTCTCTACCTCAGCTATTTCCAGGTTCCCAAGAAAAGTCTACATCAAATCTGACTTGGTCACAGGTGATAATCAAGTTCCCTTAGGCAAACAAAAGCAAAGAAAAACAAAGTGTCACTTTCACCATGAATTAAGACAACAGACTCAAAGGGAAACCACTGAATGAGCAGACAGATGTAAATGTATGCTTACATCAGCAATCCACATGTTTGCAAACTGAAGGCCAGCTGTCCTGCCAGTCCTTGCAGTAAACCATGCATGCTTCTCTTTGGCCAGTTTAGTTGTTATGTGTGCAGAAAGAATGCAGCATCCTATCTCTTCCACATTATGTCTAATTCAGAATGTATTTGCTTCAAGTTACCTTCCTATAGCTGCTCTGCTGACACTTAATTCTCAGAGGAACAGGCTTCACAGCTCAGGAGACAGGCTATTAGGAGACAATTGGCTTTCTGGCTGGTACCTGTGGTCTTGACAGGATTCTCACCTTAGCCAACTTACTGTCCTCAGCCAGGCATGAGACAAGACACTGTAAGCTTGTCACATGGAATGAGGTAACCAATGAGAATGTCACCAGTGCTTTCCTTAAGTGGTGGTAAATGCTCTTCCTGAATCCTGTGTGTATCTTGTAAGCCATTGAAGACTTACTAGAGTGCTGCTGAAGGGATGATGGGGCCCTAGTTGCTTCTTCTTTAAATACAGATTTCTGTTATCCAGATACTGAAACATTCATTTGTCTGTACCAAGGCCATTTTTGCCATTGGTATAGAGTTGTCATAGTGTGCTTGGCATTGATATAGCAAAATACCTAAGATGGTGTTAGTTACTTCTCTATTGTTGCAACAAAGCACCATGATCAAGGCAGCTTATAAGAGAGTGTACTGGGGGCTTAAAGCTTCAGAGGGTGAGTCCATAGCCACCATGGTGGGGAACATGGTGGCAGGCAGGCATACCTCCTCCATGGCCACACCCCCTGATCCTTCCCAAATAGTTCCACCAACTGGGAACCAAGCATTCGAATATATGAACCTATGAGGACCATTCCCATTCAAACCACTAAAGTCGGGCTATTTAAATAAAAGTAGTTGTCTGGAGGTCCAAGGTTGAAGAGATGCATCTGGAGATGGTTTTGATGTTGATGGAGCTTGAAAGCATGGCATGGCCTGGCAGTCATAAGGATGTGTCTCTTCTAGTCTCTTTCATGTAAATCAGTCATGGGGGTTCCTGTGGGTTATCTTAACTATCTTCCAAAGGCCCACCAAGTTTCCACTCTCTCAACATTTTACAGTGAGGATTAAGCATTAGTGAATCAACCCTCGGGGACACACTGAAACCATATCAAAACTGGAGTAATAATTTCTTTGTTACCATCATGAAGGGTTGGAGAGATGGCTTCATGGTAAAGAGCACTTACTGCTCTAGGCAATGCATACACATCCTGCACATATGCAGACAAAAACACTCATATACATAAAAGAAAAATAAGTAAATCTAAAACTCCACTAGGAAACATCCATCATCTAACTTTAAAAGCTAAGGCTCATTGTTAAGAGTCTTTCTAAAGGACTCATCATAAAACCTTTTCAAAATGGAAGACTAGGGAGGCCCAGGCCAGGGGGTCCAGATTAGGAGGCTGGGCAGATCAGGGGGTAGGCCCAAGACTTCAGCTGTTCTTTCCTGAGGAAAAGTTCCTTTGTAAAGCTCAGTGTCATCGTGTCCTACCCCATGCCCCTGCAAACCACCACCAGGGAATTTCATGAGTACTGACTGTATTGACATCATTTCTACCCTTCCTTTTTCTCCACTCAGCTCCTCCCAGCCTTCCTCTGGATTCCCTCTCAAATTCATGACCTCTGCTGACATATACCTATAGGGTTCATGTTCTGGGTTCAAAGGCTCCCAGTGATTCAGCTGCCTACAGCTGTGAGCCTGCCTGATTTGATTTCTCATCCACCATGTTGGATCCTTGCTCTCCTCAGGTCCTGAAACAGTACATTTTCCTCTAGTGCCTGACCTAAGTATTTTAGGTATCACATGCTGAAGAATACATAGCAAGCTTTCTTGTCAGACTATCTTTGGATCGCCAGCCCCCAGACAATGACACAGAGACTTATTATTAATTATGAAAGCTTGGCTTCTAGCTTAGGCTTGTTTCCAACTAGCTCTTATAACTTAATTTAACCATATTTTCTAATCTTTGTTCTGCCACGTGGCTCAGTAACCTCTTCTCAGTGCAGCACATCCGACTTGCTCCACGTCTGCTGGTGAAATCCAAGCATCTAGATTCCTCCTCCTCCTTCTCTCCCTAGAAGCCCCACCTATTCTCTCTTCCCTAGCTATGGGCTACTCAGCTCCTTATTAACCCAATCAGAAGGTACCTTGGCAAAGACAAGAGTCTTTGTACATAAAGATCATCCCACAGCAAGAACGCCTTGGAGGGGACAACCCCTTCTCTGTAAATCCTTTCTTGTTTCTGTGTCCCAGGAATACCGGCCACAAGCATTCTGGCTAAACATGGTGGACGCTGCCTTCCAGAGCCTGGTGTGCTTTTACATTCCTTACCTGGTAAGTGGAACCCAGCGCAGGGTTTTTTCCTCAACTGCCTCTAGGCACCTACAGACCACAGAACTTTGCCCCTGTGCTTGTCTTTCAGGCCTACTATGACTCCGATGTGGATTTATTTACCTGGGGGACCCCTGTCACAGCAATAGCACTGTTCACCTTCCTGCTGCACCTGGGTATTGAAACCAAAACCTGGGTGAGCCACGGGCAAAGTCACACTCCAAAAGGGACCCATGTTGCGGGCCACAAACTTCCCAGCAGGTGTTTTACACATGCAGGAGGCTACAAAGCTGCCCTAGCTGTGTGCTAAGATGGAAAGTGATGTCTACTTTCCTGGGAAAAGGGACAACCCACCACCCACCATCCTGTACAGTACTTATCTACCTGCATTCTCAGTCTCCTTCACTGCTATGCCCCTGCCTTGCCCGCTCCTCTTCCCTTTACAGTCCTGTCCCAGCCTGTTCTCCTAAGACCAACCAGCCACTGACAACAAGAGTCTTCACTAAGACCTGGAAGGCACACCCCTATCCATTCCCCATAAACCCATATTGTTGTTATGGTTGACACTCTTAACGTGAAGTAAAAGCCCTTTCTCTCTGGTTGCTTTCAGACCTGGCTCAACTGGTTAGCCTGTGGCTTCAGTACGTTTTTGTTTTTCTCCGTGGCTCTGATCTACAACACGTCCTGTGCAACATGCTATCCTCCATCTAACCCTTACTGGACCATGCAGACATTGCTGGGTGACCCTCTGTTTTACTTGACTTGTCTCCTCGCGCCTGTCGCTGCCCTGCTGCCCAGGTGAGTATCAGTTGGTGCCTCCTGCTGACCAGCAAGTGCAGCACACACGCTGTGCATGGGCCTGCGTGAGCCTCCTGAAGCTCAGTCATGGCCCTTTAGAATCTGATTCTTTTTCATGTGTTCTTTCTAGACTGTTTTTCAAAGCTCTCCAGGGGAGCCTTTTCCCTACCCAGCTCCAGCTGGGACGCCAGTCAGCCAAGAAATCTGCCAGCAAATTCAGTGCTCCCAAAGAGACTTCGACTCCGGGACAACCACCTGGAGACTCAGAAACTGAGCTTTCAGAGAGGAAGACCATGGCACCTTTTGAGTCCCTTCCCAGGGATTGTGCCTGTCAAGCTCCCCAGCTCTCACAGCAGCTGGCCTGCTCCCCAGAGGCCAGTGGGGAGCCCAGTGCAGTGGATACAAACATGCCATTAAGAGAGAACACCTTGCTGGAAGGACTGGGCACTCAGGCTTCAGGGCCCTCCATGCCTGGGGAGGCTGTCTCCGAAGAGTTTCCCGGTGACTCCAAGAAGAAACCCACCAGTGCTAGCCAGACAGCCTCCTTATCGTCACTGTTCAATCTGCCCAGCTTTGGCTCACTCAGCTGGATCTCTTCCCTGTCACTGGCCAGTGGGCTGGGAAGTGTCTTGCAACTGTCCAGAAGTAGTTTGCAGATGGACAAGCGGGATGGTGAATTCCTGTCCAGTCCCCCACAGACAGATCAGGACCTACACAGCTTACAGGGACAAGTCACAGGCTACTTCTAGTATCACCTCCAAAGGGTCACAGCCAATTGTGGTGACAAAGAAATCCTTGAAATAGCCTTTTTATTCTGTAACAGATGTTAATGTTATTTATGTTTATTATTTGCACAGAAGAGTTCTAGGAAGATGTATTTTTTAAATGTTTCCAAGACAAATATAGGAAACCCGAGGTACCAAAAAAGAAAGTTTATTTTTTAAAGTTCTAAGTAGAGTATACTGATGAAAAAATAAGAGCATATATCTTTATCTGTCTATCTGTATATAAAGTTTAAAGAAGAGTGACACTTGGAAAGTGTGTCTAGATTTATTTTTTCATCTCATTTTGTAAGGAAAAGCAATGTGCTTTGTTTCCTCAGCATATGTGGCCCTGGCTTTCTGCAAGCAGGCATAAACATGTGACTAGTCCAGTGACCCCTAGGGTGGCTCTGATGGGGATGGACACAGGACCAGGAGGAAAGAAGGCGGAGGGGAGGGGAGGGGAGAGTGTGTGACCTTTGAGGCAAATTCCTCCATTGGCTTCCAGTGTTACCAACAGCAAAAGGAAAGTGAAAACTCAAGAAAAACTCATGTGAATTTCCTGCCAACACTCAGTTCCATACAGGCATTTCATAAAGGTCACTTCATAGGTCCGACAGCTCCAATGTCATGTGTGTTTCTTGCTAAAATCCCCACATGCAATAAATAACCTCCACTTTGCAAATAGTGTGTCTGGTAGCCACTGTTGTGTGAAGATGCTGGTGTATGACCTAAGTGGGTGTGTTCTGAACACTGTGTGGTCACTTCTTTATGCAAGTCCTTTAGACACTGAAGACAATGGTACTGTGATGTCTAGGCCAGGATCACAGAGTGACCTGTTACCCTTGGCTCCTTGCTTCAGGCCATGGATAACAGCCAGACTCCACTAACCAAAATTTTAGACATTTTGAGTAATTACCTTCAGGCTTTTGTCTGATGAGCTATCATATGTCCTCATCCAAAAGGGAAAAGGGGGAGAGAAATGATTAAAACTCTTAATGACAAACTCTACTATTTCAGTGACAGTGTTAACTCATCCTCCTTGTTTGCCCACCCTGTCCCACACTTGGGATAGGAAGTAAGCAGGATGTGTCTTGGGCTCCTCCAGTGGGTATCTGTCTCTTCAGACTGCAATGCAGAATAGCAGAGGATAAAGACATGGGGGAGAACTGCCCACTGAATATGGTTCTTGTCAAGTATCAGAATGTCCCTCATTCCTCAGAGTGGAAGCTCACTGTACCAGTTCCAGAAGAGATGGGGCTTTACGGACCTTGCTCTCAACAACTCTGATCAAGGATGCTATAATCTATAGATGTCCTCACAGAATTCTATGTTGAAAGTTTCCATCTCTACATAGATGTACTGAGAGGTGGGGGCTTGGGAGGGGATATGTCCAGGACATGAGGGCTTGATCTTGAATGTATTAACACTATGATCAAAAGGGACTTTCAAGACTACATTTGTTCTCTTGTCCTTCAAGCAACCACCATTGTGATGATACATCAAGATGGCTCTCACCAGATACAAACACCTTAACATTGGACTCCTAGCACTGCTAACTGCAAAGGAACACATTTCTGTTCTTTATAAATTAGCCAGACTCAGGTATTCTGTTATCAAAACATAAAACCAACCAAGGCATAGGATTTGTCACCTCATTTCTTCCCTTAGTTTTGGGGTTCAGTCTTGTAAGACTGCCTCTGTTCTTGGTGCTGCATTTCTGCCAGTGAGGTAAGACTATAGTCCCACATCCAAAGGAGAGACTTCTATTTACATTCTAAGCAGCCCTAGTATCTATAACCTCCTATATAAAGGTTGCACAGCAGTTCCCAAACCAGTTACTGGTAAACCATGTGGGAGGTATCCTTTCTACAGTGCTGTGTCCCTAGACACAGAAGTGCAGTATGTTTATCATATAGAATTGAACAGAGGCAGTGTCACTACATACAGAGAAACAAGGAGGCAGGGTTTATGGCATACAGCTGGATCAAGGGGACAGGTTTAGGTAGTCTTAGGAGGAAAAGTCTCTGTAGGGGAGCAGTCTGTATGCTGTAAACGTCCAGGGAGCAGGAAGCTGTGGTAGACATTTTCGGCATACACTACCAACATTCAAGACAGAAGGGTCTGATGTCCTTGATATTTCTGTATCCATGTCAATAATGTGCATTCACTCGGGACTTCGTTCACTTGGGGCTTCCCCTGCCCCCCAACACTAGGGCTCCTTGATGGAGCTGGGAGCGATACCTGGGGTTTGTGAGATGGGGGTGGCAGGAGTGTGAGGCAGCTTTGGTTCTGGCAATACAAGATCAAAGGCAACAGATGTCCTAACCATGTCCCTGTTGTGCTACCTCCCCATGCCTGGTGCCACCTTTTCTGCTCTTGGGAGCCACATATCTGAAAAGTGTAAGTTGGTAAGACGTGTTGCTAGCAGAAAACCACAAGGACACAAGCATATATATCTGAGTGCCTGCGACTTTAAAATGACCCAGTGTCCATTCAGCCTGCACTCACAGCATTGCTTCTTCCCAAGAGAAGTCTTCCTCTGAGGATCGGGTTTCTTGACAAGTAGAAGGATCTGGGCATTAGCTTCAGAAACTTGCATAGCAAAGCCACGTTAGAGAAACAAATGCTGCAAAAGGTGTGGCAGTTAGCTGCTTATGGGATGAGGCATGCTCATGACATTTACCGTAATCTGTTCCAGCCAACCACATTTATCTCAAAGTAACATAGTATGGGGTGAAAGTCAGCTAACTCCTGACAAAAGGTGAAAATTTGAATATTTCAAAAACAGTGTCTAGTGGCAGGTGAGAGACTAAAATCAGCATTATTCATTCATGACTGAATAAGAGATCTGGAAATTCAAGTGAACAAAAAGAGGCTTTTGCTAATCTAAGGAGGAAGTATATCAGCTCACTATACAGGAGCATGGCTGCTCTTGAGGACTTGCCCACATTGGACGTCAGAGTAACTGAACCAGCGAATGACCACCACACAGCGTGGCTACTTGCTTCCAAATTGAAACCAACTATTTTGAACTCAGAGGGCAGATACGATGTCGTTTTGTCTTTTATGTCTGCCACGGCACAGAATCTAACATCTTGAATGCATTCAGCAAATATTGGGTGAGTAGAAGAATCAACCTATTAATAAAAATGAAAGACATTCCAATTAAAATTGCAGTCAAGAAAAATTACTTGTTATAACTCATTGCTTGTTTAATAGTATCCAGATTTTCTGGCTGATGCAATATATGAATTTTTAAATGAATTGCTGGAATGGCAGAAACTATTTGCCAACAAACTGGATGGATTGAGCACTCATATATTTTAATGAGAACACCCTACCTGGGGAGAAGCTTGAATCCACCACCCCTTCTCTTTGACCCAACAGTCCCACTTTGGGGGACTAATTTTTTTTACATATGTACATGTGTGTATGAAATGCATGTGTGTGTATGCATGTTCACACATCTATAGCACATGTGCATGCAGCTGCACAGACATAGTCGCGGAAGTGTATCTGTAGGTTCAAGGCTGGCATGGGGTATCTCTATTGTTCTCAACCTTATGTATTGCCACAGACTCTCTCACTGAACCTTTGACTTTCCACCTGGGCTAGTCTAGCTATCCAGCTCTGAGGATCCCCCATCTCCACATGTGTGCACTGCCAGGGCCTACACTCCCACGGGACTTTATGTGAGTTCTGAGGATCTGAACTTGAATCCTTGTGCTTGCACAAGTGCTGTACCCGATGCTCCATCTCCCAAGCCAACCTTGGGGACTAAATCTGAAGAAAATATCCAGTCACGTTCGTTTAAGATGTTCCTGATAATTAGTGGTACAAACTTGGAAACCTTTTGGATTGCCAGTGAAATAATTGCAGGAAATATCAGCGATATCACAGGTCCAAAACATGGAACCCATGAGAGAAGTGGTGTGAAAGGTCTCCTGCCCGCCGTGTTAGAGACCAAGCACTGCATGACTAATGCCCAGTACAGAGCTGGCACTTGCTCTGCATGACATATTTTCTAAATCAAGAAGCAGATGGCAGTGCATTGGAGTCTTGCTGCAGTGGGTGTGTGACCCTTAAAACATGGTTATGAGGCTTTGTGGCAGGGATATGTGACCCTTAAATCCTCAGTGTGAGGCTGTGTGGCAGTGGGCATATGGCTCTTAGAACCTGAGTATGAGACCATTAGAGCTGAGGGATGTACACTTAAAACCGGTGTGTGTGTGTGTGTGTGTGTGTGTGTGTGTGTGTGTGTGTGTGTGTGTTCCACAGAGGAATCTAGTAAAATTAAATGAGTAGCAAGAAAAAAAAAAGTCAGGAATGTGGAAAAGGAACTAGTGGTGATCGGAAGTGGGGTATAAGGGGAGGGAGGCAGACTAAAAGAGCGTGGATTACAGTAATCAGAATATACTTAATACGTGTGTGATAGTATCAAAGAATAAAGTCAATACATTTAAAGTTAAAATCATTGGGGTATGGTGTTGCATGTCTATGATCCCAGCTATTCAGGACACTGAGGCAGGAGGATTTTAAGCTGAGACCAACTTGAGCTATATAGAGACACCCCATCTCAGAAAAAAAGAGGGAGGCAAAAGAAAAAATTGGAGACCACTCAATAATGACTACTCTTTATTTGACATGTTTGTGGGCCTGCTTATCAAATTAATGGACTCTGGTGGGTTTCTACCTCCATAAGCATAGGGTTTTAGAGCTGCACCCTTGAAAACTATAATGTTTCCACAGAAGAGATGTGAGTGTCACAAAACTGATCTATGTTCGGTTACAGATCCAAATAGTAACCCCAAACTGTCAACTCTTCTTTGGAACCCTTTTTCGGGTTGAAAAAGTAGTCCAAGTCAACAATGTAAAATGTTACTTTATTTTAATATTCTAGCACAGACCATCCTATATAGAAAAATAAAGAATGGTGAAAAGTTGAGGGTCTGGGTGTAAAGAATATGATGGTAGAGGATTTACCTGGCATTTGTGAGACCCTGGGTTCCATCCTGACACCACAAATAATAATAAAATTTGAGCTTCCGTTCTAGATAATGTGGCACCGAGATCCGGCCTTGCTGCTCAGGTTGCTTTCCCAGCACATTTCAGGCTGCAACTGAGTGTACGTAGGTATACCAAGGCCTTGCTCTCGGCTTCCATTCTGAGCAGCACAGGAAGCCTGGTAGGAACAACTGAACTTTTCATCATGGCATCATCATGTTTCTCCACCCAATCCTGCTTTTTCCATGCTCTCTCCAGTTGTTCCAAGGGTATTCCAGTAAACCTTCTATACCTGAACCTGTTTCCATCAACTTGCTGGGGTTCTTAACCTAACACAGTGTTGAATCAAGAAATAATTCTTCAGAAAAAAAAAAAAGGTATGGCTCCTTATAATTAATTATCATTACACACATATAAGAATAGTTATATGAAATATAGTTGAGCCAGTGTAATGATGGACATTTGTAATCTTGATACTCAGCAAAATGAGGCAGGAAGATCACAACTTTAGATCAGTGCTTCTCAACCTTCCAAATGATGCAACTCTTCAATACAGTTCCCCATGTTATGGTGATCTCTATCCATAAAATTATTTTCGTTGCTTCTTCATAATTGTAATTTTGTTACTGTTATGAATTGTAATGTAAATATCTGTGTGTTCTGATGGTCTCAGGCAAC